GAACGACATGTACGGGAATTCAAAAAGCCCAAACGGCGTTGTAATGGCCGTTTTTCCGACGTCTTCCGACGCAACCGGAATCTGATTATAAGCTCGGACGAGATCTATTGTGGAAAATACCTTTTTGCCACTCAGTTGTTGCGCAAAATCCTCAATGTGACGCACGGGGTATCGGTCGGGAATTGTCCGTGCGTTTAACGCTCTATAGTCACCGCAAGGCCTCCAAGCTTCTTCGCCCTTCTTCGGAACCATATGAAGGGGTGCTGACCACGCGCTCTTCGAAGGACAAGCGATGCCCATCTTCACCATCGCGTCGAACTCCTTCTGGGCAGCCCTGAGCCGGTCCGGTGCAAGCCGCCGCGGCTTGCTGGAAACGGGTGGTCCAGGGGTTGTCTCGATGTAATGCACCGTTTGGTGCGTAGTCCTCATCGGGGTGCCGCTAGGCCGTGTAAGTTCCGGCATCTGCATCAGGAGCTGGTGGTAAACGGTAGTCCCTGCTACTGTCTTCACCGACGGCGTTTCATCCTCGGCTCGTGTTCCGCGGACCGTTAACGACGTGGTCCGATCGACGAGGCGACGATTGCGGATGTCCACCATAAGATCGAAGTGATCGAGAAAGTCTACCCCGATTATGGGTTTTGTAACATCCGCAACCACGAATCGCCACACGAAATCCCGTCGTAGGCCGAGGTGCAGGTTTAACGACACTGTCCCGTAGGTGTTAATTACACTCCCATTCGCCGCCGCCAGCTGGTACTCCGATCTTTCTCGCAATCCGCCTAGCAGGCGGCGCGGAAAAACGCACAAATCGGCCCCGGTATCCACTAAAAATTCCGTCTTCGAGCTGTTGTCTAAGATGAAGAGGCGGCGTGATGCTGGATTTGTGTCGCTGGCCGCCATCAACGACTCCCCAGGTCGTTTCCCTGATCCGTGGCGTTCCAATTGCACGGTGCAACGCACCTCTGCGCGGCCGGACCGAACCGCCAATGGTACCAGCATTTCCCTTGATGGTCCATTTGTCCTCCCGCGGGCCGCTCTCGCGATCGCGATAGAGATCGTCTGCGGTAGCGCGAGTTTGGATGATTTCGGTGGGTCCACCTGCGACGGGAAGATTGCCCCTGGTCCACCAAGGATTCACGGATGGCAGAAATTTCCTGCCTCAAGGAAAGAGCCAATTGTGACATCTTAATGTTTAACATGGCCTCGATGCTCGGGCCCGGCGGGGGTATTTGGCAGGATGCAGATACGCTCGTAATCGCGGCCTCCGTGACGTGTACCCGCGGTGTCATCGTATCCGCGACAGCGTCTGCCAACTCTGCTACCTTATCCAGCGGGGTGTCCCGCTGCGTGGATAAAATCACCTGCATATTAGCAGGTAGTCGGCCCATCCAAAGCGTCCGCAATACACCGTCCGAAAAAGCCGTACCGGCCAATCCGCGCAGGTGACGAAGAAATTGAGACGGTTTTCTGTCCCCGATTTCCTCGTGTTCCAATAACCGCCGCGTTTTCTGTTCCTGCGACGCACTAAGCCGGCGAATGAACTCATTTTTTAGCGTCGTGTACGGATCCGCGGCCGGGGGATTCATGATAATGTCTCTTACTTCCGCGGCGTGTCGCGCACTTAACGCGCCGAGAATGTACCCGAATTTCGTGGTCTCCGACGTTACATTGGATACCTCAAAACTTCTCTCTACCATTGAAAACCACATCTCCGGGTCTCCCGGACAAAACTCGGGTATCCGTACAGCGACGCGATCAACTGCCAACGGCACACCCGCGGATGTCCCTGCGTTAACGTTAGGGTCAGTCATTTTACCAGTCTTAGTCACAAAAAAAAAATAGTTTCACCGCACACACACACCGCGCTTACTATATGTCAGACCGTGTCCTTTTCTTATGTCCTTAACACTATACACTTATTTCTCTACACTAACTAATATTGTCCGTATACAAAAAATGTCCAAATTTTCTTAAAAAAAACTTTACTTGCGCGGCGAGATCACGTCGGGGTCACCAATGTGGGATCGGGAAAATAATGACTCCGCCCTGTTCCGTTCCGCACAATTTTATTGTTGCTGTCGTACAACGACGTGACTCGTGGTGCGGGTTACGCTCGACTCCCTGGTACGATCATCGCCACCGTACCAAGAGGCCTTCAAAAACAAAAGACGGTCAGAGACGACGACAACGGCTTTTCGGCTCACGCGGCTCTGGTCGTCTCGTGTGCAACCATCGTCTCGTGTGCAACCATACATTGTAGCGGCTTCGAACGGCTAAGGCGTATGTGGTGCCTTGGCCGCCACACCTCCATCAACAAATTAGTATTTTTGATTTTCGTCTTATTTTGGCCTGTAAAATCTCCCACTAAAATTTTTCCCAGGAGTAGCCGGACACCCTGTATAGTTAAACATAAACAATGTCAATATATTTTTGTTATATACATCATATTTAAAAATATTAATTTTAATTTTGAAGCCACTATTATGTCTCGTACTGAGGAATTACGAGCTTTCTTAGCTAAGTTGTCTTTGTAAATTTTAAAATGTTAGCAAAAGTGCTACTATATGTTGGCCATATTTTCAAGATGTAATCGAAGTTCAAAACTCTATTAGTTTTCTTAGAAAATGAAATTTGCGAACATCTACAAACACTAGGATACTGCAATATTTTTCTGCTCAGTATAAGCTCTTAATGGAGCATTTTCGAAGGAATTTGGCGGGTTACTGGTTCAAAAAATATTGACTTCACTAATGTTTTAACTGCACCTAGGTATCAAGAAGTGTCCTTAAAAAAAAAGTTAAGAACCATTATTCTATAGGGCAATTTCGGATACTGACAAAACAAAGATAGCAACAATGGTAGCAATATCATTAGAAAACTATGTAGTTCGACGAACTCTTTAAAAAACCAGTTGTAAATCAATTGGGAAAAAGAAAATATATCATCGAAACAAAAGGTTAATTTGGCTTCTACAAAAAAATATAGATATTAGAAGTGTATTATTTGATCAGATGAAACAAAAATTAATAGATTTCTATGTGGGACATAAGTGGTAATGGATTTGTAAAGATGCTACTATTAAAAAATGGTACCTAAAAACCTGATAAATTTGAAGAAAGGTCCATTGTGGTGGTGCGCAGAATCCGAGAGATTAAGTTGGAATTTTTCGTCGACGCTCGCGAATTCGGAATAAATTAATGATTCCGGATAATGAAGTAAAGATGTTTAAGAGTGTTGTTGGTTTAACTTATTTATTGTACTAGTTATTAATAAAGAGTGCTAAACTGTGTTACACGAGTTGCCGCGCGAATACTGATCTCATTCTGGTTGTATGACAACTGTCTAGGTAGGCTCTGACGCCTTATTCTCTTTTCTAAGCAGCCCTTAGAACGATGTTGGAGAAAGTTACCGTTTTCGCAGGTAATACTTTGGTTCGAAATTCGAGGGTTCGTGGCAGGGCTGTGTGCTGGCACGCAGCAGATGTTAGAATCTTGGTCTTCCACGCGGTCGAAGGATTTTTGCCCTACCATAAACCTCATCTAACAATGAGTCAAAGCGACAGGCTGCTGCAGCGTTCAACAGGTCCCTTATGCTCCAGAGTTGTATTAAGGTGTATGGTTTCTTGCATCTTACATCTTACAAAAAGGAAGGATGTATCGATACATGCACAAAGAAATTCTAAAGACAAAATTGTAAAAATGTATGGAGAATATACCAATTGAATAATATAACATCATCTTTCAATAGTGTAGGGATCACAAATACCTATATATCAAAAGGTGTGTGAGATTGGTTGAAATCACGATCAGATTTTAATAATGAAAGATCTATGCGTAATACTAAAACCCGACGTATCGCGTAACTGAAGATTTGTACAATTTACCAAGCCACACCCCCTGCCCCAACATTTCAAATTCTTTGTTAAGTTCTTTTCTTTTCTTTACCCATCTAATACTCTACATCATTCTACGGCTTTCACTGTGAACTCTTCTGATATTTTTTTGGATATTGAAGTGTACTTGTTAATTCTTTGCATTCTTTAAATATAAGCCATAATGTATCTGCCTTTTCTTTGCTTGCTACACATTTCTTCCTCTCCTCACTTTCCTAATATTTGTTATCAGTTTCCATACTCCCGCATCTGACCTTTGTTTTTACTTTTTGCACTATCTTTTTTTCTTGAATCTGTAGATATGTAGATAGTTGCGTATAGGGTTTTATTTCAGTATCGTTGCTAGAAAACTTCTCTGATTTTCTCTTAAAATGTAGTTCAACGCTATTCTTAAAATGTTGATATTTTCAAATTGTTCACACACTAATAAGCATGGAGATTGTTGTATACACTCCATTTCTTATTTCTAGTCATTAAATGGTTTAGGGAAGGTTCAGTTTTATTATACAGGATGTGCGGCCACCCCTGGGAAAAATTTTAATGGGAGATTCTACAGGCCAAAATAAGATAAAAATCAAGAATATCAATTTCTTGACTGAGACTTCGTTAAAAAGTTATTAACAATTAAATTAAACAATTTCAAATTGTTCTAAAAAAATTATTTTCGGTTGCGTGGGGCAATTACAATCATTTTTTGTCATTACACATACCTCCGAAATCCTAGGCACTTTTGAGAAAAAAAAATCTTACCGAAAATCTAATTAGGTGTCTTTTGACGAAAAAAGAATATTTCAAATTGTTTTGGAAAAATTGTTCTCGGTTGCGGGAGTCAATTATAATTATTTTTGGTGAATAGACATACCCCCGAAATTCTACCCATTTTCTAGAAAAAAATTCGAGGTGTGAAATTTTACGACAAAAAAAAAAAATTTCAAATTGTTCTGGAAAAATTATTTTCGGTTGTGGGGGTCAATTACAATCATTTTTGGTGAATAGACATACCTCCGAAATCCTGCGCATTTTTGTGAAAAAAATTCGATATTGGTGGAACTTTAAACGTTAATAACTTTTTAACGAAGTCTCCATCAACAAATTGGAATTCTTGATTTTCGTCTTATATTGGCCTCTAGAATCCTCCATTAAAATTATTCCTAGGGGTGGCCGAACACCGTGTATGCTAACAAAAATATTTATGCAGTCAAGTTCAAGCACGGTTAAGAAAATTTCATTCTGTAAACCATTGTGGATCCCATACTTCGAACTTTGACACAATATCTATTTGTTTCAAATTTGTACGAATGTTGGTATGTTTAAAATTTTGGAAATCCTCTAAATTGACAAATTTTGTTTGTTTTCTACTAAACAACAAATTTTATCTTCGTCAATTTAAAAATGTTGAACGGCATTGATTATGGGACGAGTAATGTAATAGATTATTTCACAATTGAGGAGAGAACGGAGTCGGATCATCAGCCACTGTGTGTGGGAATTAGAGTGCTTCATAAGGAGATCGAAAAGAAAAGGGAGAAAACAGAGAAAGAAGTAATACCTAAGTTGGAGCGAGGAAAGTATACAGACATATACTGTGAAAAGCTGGGGAGAACCAAGCGTAGAATCGGGGAAGTAGTGGAAGGGAGAAGGGAATGAGGAGATAGAGAAGTGGCTAAACAAGTAGATAAGGAAAAGAACATGTTAAAAACACAATAAAGCCAAATATTATGCTAAAGATTATATGAAAATTAAAGATATGTATTAGACATATTTAAAAGTAATTTAGAGTAAGAAGATAGTAGACACGTTAGGGAATGAATGTTTGTATGACTGACAATGAGTTAACGAAAAAAGTGTAAACCAAGTTCATTCCTTGGCCGTAAGGCTAAAATTAAAATAAAATCTCGAAATGAATAGTTTTTTATATATGATTTGTTCTATTCAAGGGAACTTCCAATGCCATTTAGAACTTATTCTTTTAAAACTTTACTTCAACTCACAATTTTAAATATTGTGACTGCGAACTATAACGATATCGCTGACCTGGCCTGGGGTCTCCGTGTGTTTACGGGCCATACTTTGAGAAACACTATTACAAACAATATTAATACTTGTACAAATTATTATTTGTTTAGTAATCTGAATAACTTTTATAGAAATAAGCAGCTAAAGAGAAAATTTATTAAACATAAAAATACACAGTTTTTATAACTAGATATTAGAAAATATATTATTTCTTATAAAGTCCCTATAAATGTTTCGGCAACATACTTTGACTGTGCAAGAATATCCTAAGTGTACTGTACAATGGTATTTCAGTATGATGATCAAGCCATCTCTTGATTTTGATTCGAACTCGCGATAATGAGAGAGAACAGAAGTATTGATTTTGAAAGTTGCGTTTCTGTGTGCGTAGAACACATGTTTGAGTTTCATTCGTTATGTTAGACACTGTTTAAACTGATAACTAGTAAAGTACTTTCTTAAGAAAAGAAAAGATAGTAGCTATATACAGAGTCTTTGATAGTATTCTATTATGGATTCCGTCTACTATACAGTTCTTATTTGCTCGTTGCACGAAAACGAGACTGCAACTGCAAGCAGTGCGACGTGACACATCATAGCAAGTCCGCCGCCACCAAAAAATTAGAATCTTATTTCATACAAGAAATAACCACACGTTAGTTACAATAAACAAAATATTTATTCGTAGAAACGCATACGCTGTTGTTTAGCGATCAGTAGTCGAATTTTCTCGAATTTTTGTTGCATATTTATTTATATTTTACAAAAAAGGTATTTAACATTGTATCGTTTCAATTTGCTGCTTAAGATAAACACATCACTACACAAATTAATTACCTTGCGAAATTTGTGATTATAAATTTCGTTTTGTTGTGGTTTTATTTGCGCTTCGTATATTTCACTTTCTATTTATGTATAGTGTTCCATATTAGGGGTGAACGGGTACTCCAGATTTTGGATTCGGGTCTGGTCGGGAATGTTATTTAGAATCGGGTCGGGATGCGGAAATATTCGGGTACCTGAAATCGAATCGGGTACTCGAAGGTTGAGCACTCGACATTGAGCCAGGACCCCGAACGTTTATATTATTCCAATTCTCGAATTTTATAACACATCGTGACAAATTAAACAAGCCACGCTTGGTGGAAATTTGTAAAATCTATAGAGAGGCAATCAGATATAAAAGTTTAGTCAAAAAGAAACATTTATTTATTTGAAATTTGAATACCGAAATATTTCAAATTTTTAAGCTCTCGACATGATCCGAACACTATCCGATTCGGTTTCGGGTACCTGACTCGACCCGATCAATACCCGACTAAACCCCGAAACTCGGGTACCCGACATTTCAGGTACCGTCTATTTCTATTGGATCTACTTTCTGCGTATGTTTTTGTTTATGTCGTACTTGTTGCAGCTCAACTTCTGCATTTTCTTTTTTATCGTCATCACATTGTAAGGACACTAATTGCAAGTGTTTGACTTAAAGTAGCAATTAAATTATTTACATAGTTAATTTCTTTGGGTGTTTGCTTTATTTAACTTATTACTTTATTAATTTTAGGTACCAAGATATTAGGTTTGTTAACGAAGCAGTAGAATCTTTTCACGTCTTTCTTGTCTGCAATCGAAAAGATTCAGATAATGTCCTGCTTCATATATCTTCCAGTCTTAAATTGTCATACACCGGACATTCTTTCATAATATGTTCGATTACTTCCAACTCCTTGTTATTGAATAAAATGCATAGTTTTTCTTCGTTTATTATTTGCGTTGCACCGTTTTTATTTCATACTTTCCATTGTTTCTTTTCTACCACTTTTAATTGAGCTATAATTTTTTTTAATTTTATATGAAATAGTCCTCTAAGGTATTCCGCGATCAGGTTCTCTTTTCCGCTTATTAAGAGTCAATAAGACGTCTAACGAATAAGTTAGAACTGTAGGTTGATGCTTTTATTCTTTTCATGTTCTTCTCTAATAAAGATTGTTCTATTATTTTTATGATTATTTCGCGATTCCCATCTAGCGTAATTTTTGTGGGGGTAATTGTAAGGTTTGACTTGCTTTTATATAATGATATACGTTGGTTGAGTGGAGGAAACAGTTTGGATCGTTTTCAGGACGGCTGAGAAAACTGGCCACCCGTCGAGAGAAAAGAACTGGGTATCTTCCAGGCCGTCTGAGATGCTCCGAGCAGCATCACTTGGTTTCCCCGATTCGATAAGAGAGGACGGCTGAGAAAGCCGGCCCTTTATCGGGCATGGGAAACGCGGGTTGACTGTTTCATTATTATCTTGTAATATATTCGGGAGAAAAAAACCGGACGCCCATTAGTGATTCTAAATGTATTGTCAATGATTCGTCGCTAGCCACCGGAAATAACAAGGAATAATTGAGACAAAATATAATCTCTCTGTCCTTAAAACCATATTCCCGCATTTTCTTTCCCTACAAAACTTCTTTTATAATTAATTTTAATAGTATACAGGATCATATGGTGCATTGCTGTAACAAGACATTTGTGTTTGGTGGAAGGCATTTTACTTCGATACGAGGGTCGTTCAATAAGTCCTTAGAAAAAGATAGAAAAACAAATTATTTTAGGTAGATTTTTTTGTTATTTTTCAGCATAATCTGCTTTTAGCTTTATACACTTTTCCAAGCGTTTCTCTAACTTTTTTAAGTCATCTAAAAAGTAAGATTTCGGAAGTTCCGCAAAATAGGCATCTGTTTGGGCGGTGACCTACTCGTTCGACGTAAACCGTTGTCCGCCCAGCCATTTTTTAAAATTTGGAAATTAAAAACAGTCACTGGGAGCCAAACCCGGTGAATACGGTGGATGTTGTAATAATTCGAACCTTAATTCTATGATTTTGGCCATCGAAACTGCACATGTGTGCACCCGTGCATTGTCTTGATGGAAGAGGATCTTTTTCTTTTTCAAATGAGGACGTTTAATTCCCCGTTTAATTTTCTGGAGACGGTGCCAGACAGACAATTTGTTAAAAGGTGTTTCTATGAAATAAAATTCAGAAGTGTTTAGTGGACTACCAATTAAAAGACGATCGGTAGTCAATGTTGAGAGGTGTAGAGATTGGAGTAAGAGGGCTGTGAGTTCAGAATAACCTCGGTTTCGACAATAAACCTATTAAATTGCTCGAATGGAAGTAATTTGTTCTCTATAACTCATCGTAGGTGGTGTTTAGGAGATTTTATAGCAGCTTTCCCTAAGCTTCTGAAGTGTGGTGAAAATGATATGACGGAGCTTCCTTTGATCCCTTCGTTACACACGTAGTTGTGACCTTTTGCAGATATTCATCCGACTTGAATAGATGATGAATTTCTTGTAGCTCGTTGGTGGATCATGCAACATTTTCCTTGTTAAGAAATGAATCATCGTGTCACTGTCGAGCTCTAAGTGTACTGTTTTAACTGCGTCATACATAAATAGGGCTACGTATACTTTGACTCGGTTGTTGCGGTGTTATCCTTGGTGAAGAAGGGACTGCAGTAGTCGTTGCATACGTTTTCTTTAGGTTTTCCTACCAGAGCTCTGAGGGGATCGACAGCTGGAACCTTTGGATCAACAGAAGTGAATCTCTGACTGGATTGTTACAACCAATTTCCTTGAACTGTAAGTTCCTTCGAAGGTCATAGTCTCAAAAGGGATTAACGATTGAGGAGAGGCCAGAGATTCTGGCGAGCTGCTAAGAGAGGAAATGGCTAACGGGGCTGGGATCTCAAGAGCTCCGCAGGGAATTGGAGGTGTGGGAGCACAAGCATACCTAACAATGGGAGGAGGCGGCGGGAGGTATAGTTTCCTCTCTGATCTGTGGTAACTTCCGCTTCTCATTTCTCGCACTGTGCCAGAAATAATGGTTGACGTTTGGGTCACTTGATTTGTAACCTCTGTTATTTGCTTTTGATTGGTGTCTTTCTCTTGGACATGCGATGCATAAGAAACAGCTATGGAATCAGCCATAGTCTGTATCTTCTATAAGATTTGAGGCGCAGTCTGACTGTTGCCGCGTGTATTGTTGGCAACTGTCAGCTGTCTCGTCGTAGAATTATTGGCTGGCTAATTCACGGATTCCTGCGCGGACTGCGTCGCGAGATTTTAACTTGACTGTTATTTTACGTGAGTGCAACTCGATACGATGTTATTGAATGTTGTATATATATATATTTAATTTTTAAGGTTGCATCAACCCGAATGGGTCATTAGCAACCACGCAAAGTACACAAGTACAGACACAAGATGCCATAAGGAAACCGTCAAACTAAATTATACCACATTGGACCAAAATTAAATTAAATGGAAAAGGTTTACATGTTTCAAAAATTTAAGCAGTTTTCCACATGAATTGAAAGTTCTAGTAAGCTCTTTGGAGTCTTCATTCACTTCAAAATGTCTTCTTTCACTCTCATACACCGGGCACGACGAGATGATGTGGTGAATCGAGTTCCTTAAATTACAATTGATGCACATTGGACAGTCCTCTTTTTTTATCAGATGCACATGGGAAAAATTGGTATGGCCAATTCGTATTCTTGTTAATACGCTTTGCTGCTTCCTATTGAACAAAAAAGCGGGGCTTCTTTCAAAGATATCATTCCTAACACAATGCATATAAGTAGCGCGCGAGTTTTCCCAGGCAATGTTCCAATTGTTCTTGATAACTTTGAGGAGAGATACTAGAATGTCCTTATGAAAAGCTGGTACACTTAGACTTTGACACTGTTGATTGGCAGCCTCTTTAGCGATTTGGTCCGCTCTCTCGTTCCCTCTTATTCCTAGGTGGGACGGGACCCATCCAAAAAGGATCTCTGCAGCTTTATTATTGGATAAAATTTCATTATACGTTTCAACAATTTGTGTTGTGTCGCAGACCCTCGAGCGTCCCGTCGCGACGCAATATAATACGTAGGGTAGGCCCAAGTGTTAGGGCCCAACCACTTGCTCGCCTGTTCATTAGGCAGTTTTCGTCGCCTGGGCAAGTGGTACCCTCAAGGCCAGACGTCGGCTAGGTGGTTGGAGGCGCCGCTCGACCACCCATATTTCCCACATGTTTTCACTTACCCTGGTGTCCTCTTAACCGACTTTCCTTTTCCAGAACAGCCCTATGCATACCTCCACTCCTTTTCCTAGGTCCCAGCCTACATTTTTCCCAATTAGCCAATCCTGATAAACCACTCCCAATTTTCTATTCCGACTCCGGCGTCTCCACCCACCAAAATTAGGTATATAAGGTAGCCCGCGAGTTACGACCATATCACTCTAAAAAATCCGAAAAGGATTACTTCACGCAATAAAGAATTTAAAAAACCAACCAGCAAAACTTCTTCGTCGTGAGCCAACCACAACAGTGTTGTCGCGACGATCACGACAATTTGTTTCATGATCGGATTTCCTGAGTTAAAAGTTCTTAAAGCTGCCAGGGTACTCATGGAATCTGTATAAATAACGTATTTGTTATCTTTGTTTTCCACTTCGTCTATGTATTTCAATGCTTCCAATGCTGCATATGCCTCACAGGAGAAAATTGTGAACACGTCTGGAAGCTTCCATCGCCTATCACCAACAGGTGTTACAATTCCACAACCAGTTCCATGCTTGGTTTTAGACCCATCAGTATAGATTTTTATGTAGTCAGGATATCGGCTGGCGCTTTCCAGAAATAAAGACTTGAGAAGATCTTGGTTTTCATTTTTCTTTGAAGAATGATCGAAGGTTATTTGTCTTGGAGTTTTCAAAAGCCAGGGAGGTGTTTTGAACTCTTCACATGGAAGGGTATCAGCTAATGTCATATTTAACTTTTTTAATATTTGGAGAATACGAATATTAATTGGTTTCGGTAATTTGGATTTCCGGTCCAAGAGATCAATAAATTTGTTTGAAAAGAGGATCTTTTTCGTTGGGTTAAACGGGGATGCAGCACTAGTTAAGGCGTACGAAAGTGTAAGTTGCATTCTTCTGTAGTTCAACGGAACAAGGTTTGCCTCACTTAGTAAGCTGTAAATAGGGCTAGTGCAAAAAGCTCCAGTTGCTATTCTTGCAGCACTGCTGTTAATTGTGTCCAGCTTCTTAAGTGTAACCGCGCTCGCCGAACTATACACCATTGAGCCGTAGTCTATTTTGGGTCTGATTAATGCTTTATACGTTGCAATTAAAACTTGAAAGTCTGCTCCCCAGTTTTTTGAAGCTATTGCTTTCAAAACATTAAGGCTCCTAGCGCAACTATCTCTTAACTTCTTAACATGTGGTACCCACGTAAGCCTGCTGTCGAAAATTAGGCCAAGTATTCTAATTTGGTTCGTTATTGAAAGAATATGATTTCCTAGTCGTAAGGTTGGATTGTCCTGCTCTAAAAAATTTCTATTAAAAACAATAACTTTCGATTTAGATTCGGAAAACTTAAGGCCCGTTTTAGCTGAGAATAAACTGATTTGATTTAAGGTTTTTTGCATAATGTCTTCTGATATTTTGATATTTTTACCGGAAACGAATAGATTAAAATCATCAGCAAACAAGGTACACTTAACTGGAGCCTTAATAATACTAGAAATTTCGTCTATTGCCAGAAGAAAGAACGTAACACTCAGTACTGATCCTTGAGGAACTCCATTATTAATTAATGTTTTTTCAGACAAAGTACTATTGATACGAACTTGAATGGACCGAGATTTAAGAAAGTTGATCGTAAATTTTAAAATATTTCCGTTTAGCTTGAAGTTTTTCATTATACTGATGATTCTATCCCTCCAGACCATGTCATACGCCTTTTCAATGTCGAGGCAGACTGCAATAAGATGATGTCTATTCGCAAAAGCTTCACAAATGCTGGATTCCAAGGTGACAAGGCTGTCCAATGTACTACGACGATGCCTAAACCCACTTTGGTGGATAGATAGAATTCTGTTTCTTTCCAGAAACCATCTGAGTCGCTTATTTATAATTCTTTCCATTAATTTGCATAAACAACACGTTAAAGCGATAGGTCTATAGCTTCCAATGTGGTTTCTATTTTTGTCTGGCTTGGGAATTGGCACTACAATCGCTTCACTCCATTGCTTTGGAAAGACGTTATTACACCATATGCAGTTAAATAGGTCTAATAGGTAATTTAGTGCTTTTATGGAGAGTTTCTTAATGAAAATATTCGGTAACTTGTCAGGTCCGGGATTGGAGTTTTTGCAGTTGTGCAGAGATTCCTGTAGTTCTCCGATGCTAATTTTTACATTTATCTCAGGTACCGAATCAGACATTTCGTGTCGTGTATCATTAGATACCTCTTCCAGGAAAGTCTGTTTGAAACTACGAAAATCTTGATTAAAATTGCTGTCACTTGAATTATTAGCAAAGGTTCTGGCGAAGCAGTTTGCTATGTCAACCGGATTGGAAATTAGTAAGTTATCCGATGTGATGACAGTCCTGATATCAAGGTGCTTCAAATTCCCGTTGATATGTTTTAGCTTTTTCCAAACTTCGGAAGAAGGGGCATTGTGATTCAGTTTGGAAACATAATTAATCCACGATTGTTTTTTGCTCTGCCTAATGATTTTTCTTGCGATAACCCGATGTCTCCGGTAGTTAATTTTATTTAATTCGGTATTATGACGTCTGTAAACATTAAGAGAGTGTTTGTATTCCTTGATAGCTGCTTCACAATCATTATTCCACCAAGGAACGTTTTTCTTCTGTTTATTATTTCTTGTTTGGGGTATAGATCGAGAAGCTGCTTGTGAGATTACGTCGGTAAAATTTTGGACTAGCATGCTGATGTGACAAGCATTTGATTCGTTTGGTGTTTCAAGCCCATCGATACTGTTATCAATTAATGATTGAAACATAGCCCAGTCAGCTTTGCGAAATTTCCATCTGGGGGAGTTGATATTCCCAACGATAGTATTGCATTCTATATTTAAGAAAATCGGAAAGTGGTCACTATCCAGAAGCTCAGAGGAGACTTGCCAGTCAAGTAGATCCGCAATGCCAGGAGAGGCAATAGAAAGATCAATGCAGCTCAACTTGCCCGATGCCACGTTGAAGTGTGTGGGGTCCTTTTTATTAAGAAGGAGCAGATCATTATCATCAAGAAACTTCTCAATAAGTTTACCTCTTTGGTCGGTTTTATCTGAACCCCAGAGGCTATTGTGACAATTAAAATCACTTATGATAATGCAAGGTTTGGGAAGCTGATTTAGTAGTTCAGATAATTCTTTAGATTGTAAGTGATGACTGACTGGAATGTAGACATTGCAAATTGTAATTAATCTGTTTGCTAAAAAAAGGGTGGCTGCCACTGCTTCTAAATTGGTATCGACAGAGATATTGGTTTTGAATAAGTAGTCTTTGATGTAAATGGCCACTCCACCACTTGCAGAGAGACAATGTCTTCTGTTTCTGTACAAAATATCAAAGTTTTTTATTTTGGTGCAGCTAGACTCCTTGAAATTAGTTTCTTGAATGCAAACGATATCAGCATCATTATCAGCTATGAGTTTCTGGAGATATTCATAATGTGTCCTTAAGCCGTTTATGTTCCACTGGATAATTTTAGTAGTCATTCGTTAAGTTTGTCTAATCAATATTTGTTGGTTGAAAATTGTCATCTTCTTCAGACGAGGTGGGGTATGGTGACGAGGGTTCAGTCGACAACGGCTTCCTTAACCTATTCATGATGCGGGAGAATCTATGTTTTATGCACCTCTCTTTAAGAAGAGGATATAATTTCTCCATAAGAGATATCAGTTCATCTATGTTGTTAGTATACTCATCAGCAATTTCTCTCGCAGCGGCCGATCCATGAGCTTTCTCCATAAAACTTTTAAATTCTATGTAATTTATCGAAGAATCGGGATTATCAAGAACATCTTTGAGAGGACACAGCATTTCTTCGAGTGATTTTACTGGGACGTCTGCAACTTTGGCTTTTTTCAGTTTCTTTGGTTTTTTGGATGGCATTTCCATCGGTTCTTTCATATTTGGTTGGTCTGCGATCGGTTCAATCGATTTCTCTGAAACAGTCGTGCTTACCTCAGATCTGGTTCGCTTGACTGCGATGGTTTTAGGTTCTTCAACTGTATATTCCATAAGATACCCAGCTGGGGAGACCTTGTTCGAAATAGCATTTGGCGTAGAAACTTCTACAGTGCTTATTGTTTCAGTCAGATTTTAAGTTGTGTTATTTTCGATGTCAGCAGTTTTATTTTTATTGTCTTCATTAGTTGGACAGTCTTTAGCACGATGTCCATCTTGTTTGCATATAAAGCATTTCAAATTATCGGCAGATGGATAGATCCAATAAGTAGTATTTTCGTGATTTATTTGGATAGAATCAGGAATTTTGTTAACATCATCCGGATGGATGAAGACTTGTCGCCGGAAACTAAGAATGTGGGTATAACCTTGATCAGACAAACCAGCCCTTAAGAAAGATACAGAGGATTCTCGTCTAACTTTGAGTTTGTCGAGCACTTCTTCAATCAGGACATGTGGTATCGTAGGATAAACGTTTGAGAAGATAATTCTTCTATGTTTGACTAATAGAGGTCGAAGTTCTATATGTTGATTTGCTATAATAATCTTTGTATACTTGTTAGTCAGTTGGTCGGCTATGTCCTTGGTGGCCAGAAAGATGCAAATTCTGTTGTTTGAAATTCTAGATGCGAACCGAATATTTGCCGGACTTGTTAGATTTCCAACAGCTTTGATATAATCTTTGAGTTCAATTCCGTTTTTGGCTTCCATAATGATCGCTTGTTCCTTTTTGGGAAACATATTATTCTGCGTGACTGATGCGTAACTAGCTGGTTTAGAACTTTCCGTACTGGAACATTGGGTTGCAGGTTTGACAGAATGACTCCTGTAGTCAGAGGTCATTCTAATGTCGTTGTTGCGAGAGCAACAACTATTCATGTATTCACTGATCTAATTTCCACAATTTGCAACACTTTACTAACTGAAAAATTTTATATCCGAACAAGAGAACGCGACAGGCTACTCGAGGTCAGTAGTGTTTACTCTAGCACGATAACCGCGTCCGCACTTGACGACAGTCGACGGAGAACTCCTATTGAATGTTGTGTTTTTCTTACCGGCAAGGTATAATGGGAAAATGATACGGAAGTATATTGATTTCTGTAACATTTTTCTTCTCTCTGCTAGATTATCGCTTACACACGTTGTACGTACGTTGCTTGCTCTCGTTCGACTCAAGGCGCACATACAATAACAATGTTTCACCTAGGCTCGCTCCGATTGTTCGCGTTTTGTGTCGCTGCCGTTGGCTTACTATTCGCGGGCCTAATTTGAACGTACAATACCACATTGAAATACACGCTTCCCTCGACGTTTTGGAAAGACGTGTTCGTCTTCTCGTCGCAGAAGTTAATCGGTTGAATTATTTCCGCGTGTGTTTAATAAAAGAACCGAAGTTGGTACCGCAATCGAGACCGACGTCTCGAACCGAAGTCGACCGTAGCGATAACCGAAGTGATTGCACACGAAGCGCGGATCGAAGTGTCTTTCCTTTAGATCGTCAAAAGGAAGTCTCGCAACGGAAAATTCGTTAACACCCCAAATCGCGATTGGCTGGTGGTGTAGGAAAATGCAGCCGTTGAGGTTTTCTAAATGTTTAACGAAAATCGGCAAAGTGTCTCGCCAGGGTCGCGATTTATGAGCGCGTTGTTACCGCGAGTCGACGAGTGGAAATGGGCCATGCAGCCCAAAGTCCTCGATTGGACCGCTCGCTGACGGAGCCACAGACCGATTTACCCGGAGCGGAGTAACTGCAAACTGGAAGCGCGTTCCGAGGCACCTTCTGGTTAGCAAATGTTCTCCACGTGAAGGAGAAATCTCGAGGGATACGACGGTCGATTCCGTTTCTAAAAATTAAACAATAGCCAGCAAGAGCGACCGGAAAGGCAGCCACTTCGCCCCGGGTATTATATGTTCTGAAGAACGGAACACTGACTTTGAGTAATAATTACAGAATGTGATTTTCAAAAACTCGACCCTATAGGATTTCTGTTTGTTTTAGCCTTAATCATCAAAAGAGAGAGCACTTCAATGATTGAGTCCTTTGTAATATCTTCACTAAGTTGATAGTTAAAATAGTCATCGGGTGCATCAACATTTAGATTCGTGTGAGGGGAGGGGCTGTTCAAGCGACGTCTTCCTTGTTGACGAGATGTCGTCCCCTTGGATTAATTGGAGAAGCCACTTGTTCTGGTCAGTGATCAGCACAGAAGCTCTCTTTTCCCTTAATATTGAT